AGGTAAGTCAAGGATATAGGCCATCAATCAGGCACATGTCATTTATCAACAAAATTATGTTCAGGCTCAAGGGGCTAGCAATGGAACAATTTCATACAGGTGGATTATTTTGGCCAATAGCTAACAAGAACAAAATGCCTTTATCATATCAACCAATGCATGCATTACAGAGAAACAGATCATCCGGTGGTACTGGATGCTTTGGTGTATGAGACCACCATTCCCAGATTTGTTCCAAACCATGAAGCCATGTTAAGAACTCTTTGAAGCATTGATTTTTCCGAGAGATAGAGTCTCGGTGTCTCTTGTCAAACTTCAGCTCCCGGTGTCTCTTCCAACTCGTATCAAAGAGTTTCACCACTTCCTTTCTCATTGCCTTATTCTTTGTAGGATTACGCCTCCTTTGAGGCGTCCTCACCTCTTTGTCAAAGACGTGGATCATTCATTCTTAGCTTGAGCTTCCCGTTTTCAACATCAATCAGTGCACGAGATGTAGCTAAGAAAGGTCTACCCAGCAAAAGAGGCATCTCAGATCCCCCTTCCATGTCCAGCACCACAAAATCAGTAGGGAAGATGAACTTGTCCACCTTCACAAGAACATCTTCAATAATACCACTAGGCTTCCTCAGAGACTTATCAGCAAGTTGAAGAGATGCTAAAGTAGGCTTCAACTCGGTGATTCCGAAGGAATTACAAACAGAAAGGGGCATCAAATTAATGCTAGCCCCTAGATCACATAATGCCCTGCAAATTTTAGTGTTCCCAATTTCAATAGGAATATTGAAGCTCCCTGGATCATGACGCTTAGGCGGAAACTTTTTTGTAATAATAGCACTGCACTCCTCAGTGAGTGTCACAGTTTGGCATTCTTGCAACTTGTGCTTCCTTGACAACAAATCCTTCATGAACTTGGCATAATTTGGCATGCTAGCCAAGGCTTCAGCAAAAGGGATATTTATATGCAACTTCTTGAATATATCAAGAAATCTACCATACTGTTGCTTCTGAGCATCCTTTTCCTGCTGAAGCCCGGCTATGAATGCTCCATACTCCTCCTGGTTGTTTGACGTTTCAAATTTCATTTGCAGGGAATATTCTACCGCCACTCCTTCCGGGTTTTCAATGATTACCCTGGCCCCACTACCTTTGGAATTTGAAGATCCATCCACGTAGATCTTCCAGGTGTTTGGGTTTGGTGAGCTCTCATTTTGGATTGAAGTCAGCTCTCTGAAAAAATCTGCCAGTGCTTGAGATTTGATTGCTTTTCGACTTTCGAAAACTATGTCGAACTCAGACAATTCCACAGCCCAGGCCATCATCCTTCCTACTAAGTCGGGCTTGTGTAGGATTTGCTGGATTGGTAAGTCTGATCTGACCACAATCTGGTGCCCTTGAAAATATGCTCTGAGCCTTCTAGCCGAGATCATCAAGGCGAAAGCCACCTTTTCTAACTTCTGATAAAGGATCTCTGCTCCCTGGAGGAGGCGACTAACAAAGTAAATTGGTTGTTGCCCCTCCTCACTTTCTTGAACTAGGACCGAGCTGACAGCAACATCTCCTACGGAAAGGTAAATTATCAACGGCTCCCCATTCCTTGGACTAGACAGGTCCGGCGGTGATGCTAGCTGTTTTTTATTTCTTGGAAAGCGGCCTCACACTCCGAGGTCCACCCATATTGCACCTCTTTTCGCAGAAGCTTGAAAAAGGGTAAAGCCGTTTCCACAGACCGAGGTAAAAATCTGGTGAGCGAAGCTAGTCTTCTTGTCAACTGTTGAATCTCTTTTTTGCTTACTAGTGGCTTCATCTCCAGTACGGCTCTGCATTTGTCCGGGTTAGCTTCTATGCCCCTATGAGTTGACATAAATCCTAGAAACTTTCCTGCCAGGACTCCAGAAGCACATTTAGCCGGGTTTAAACGAATATTGTGCTGCCTTAGTTTTTGGAAGGTTTGCTCTAGATCCTCAATATGAACTGTTGAGTTAATTGATTTAACAATCATGTCATCTATGTATACCTCCACATTTTTACCAAGCTAATCTGCGAATACCTGATTCATCATTCTTTGGTAGGTGGCACCTGAGTTTTTCAGTCCAAAAGGCATCACATTATAACAGTAATTTTCCTTTTCTGCGATGAAAGTGGTTTTTTCTTAGTCTTCGGGGAGTAGTGGGATTTGATTATATCTTGAATACGCATCCATGAAGGACAGCATCTGGAACCCAGATGAGTTGTCAACGAGCTGATCTATATTAGGCATGGGGTACGCATCCTTGGGACATACTTTGTTCAAATCTGTATAGTCCGTGCACACCTTCTATTTCCCATTTGGCTTTTTTACCATCACCACGTTGGACAACCAGGTTGTGTATTGTATTTCTCTGATAAACCCTGCTTCCAGAACCTCCTTTACATGATCTTGTAACACCTGCCGACGTTCTGCACCGAGCTTCCTTTTCTTTTGAGCTACCGGTTTTGATCCTGGGTACACCACGAGCTTATGACAACAAAAGTCATGGTCCACGCCAAGGATCTCTGAGGATTTCCAAGCAAAGACGTCTGTGTTCCTCCTTAAGCAGTCAGTAAGTCGAACTTTATCCTCTTCTGCCAGCCCCTTTCCGATTTTGGCTGTTTGAGTTTTTTCTCCAATGACTACTTCCTCCAGCTCTCCATCGGGTTTCGGCCTTGGGATCTGAGTTTCATCCCTCATGTCCAACTCCACCATGTTTACCGATGTTATTCCCTTCTTCTTGGAGTTATCCTGCTTATTACTGGGGTTCACCACGGCTGGTGTCTTAAGGTTACTGCCTATTGCTCCGACCGACTTAAAATAACAATCCTGAGATTCTTTTTGATCCCCAGGAATGGTGATTACCGTGTTCTGCTTACCAATCATCTTGAGCTTCTGATGCTTGGTGGAGACCAGTATATCCTAATCGTGGATAGTTGGCCTTCCCAGAATTACATTATACTCCGACGGGAAGTCAGCCACTATGAATCTTATCCTCTCCGACTTGTAAGCCTCCTTTGTTCCCAAGGTAAGCCTCAGGTCAATGTATCCCTTAGGGGTAGTATCACGGCCGTTGAACGCAATCAAAGCCGTGTTGCAGGTTTACAAATCTTCCACATCCAGGTTCATTTTCTGGAATGCCTGCCACAGAATTATGTCGGCACAGCTTCCGTTATCTACGAACATTTGCTTGACTTTACAGTTGACTAATGTGTCGATGATAACTAACCCGTCAACGTGTCCCGGCATGACATCCTCCAATTCTTTCTTTGTAAAAAATAGCAGTGGTGCTTCTGGTTCGGCTCCTTTAAACTTGGGCCGCTCTCGTATCGAAAGCACCTCTCTTAAATACTTTCTCCTGGCATTCATTGTATCACCTCTTCTTTGGCCAGTTTCTTACCTCGGCCCTCATCCCTGAACTTCTTTTCTCGGGGCGGGCTCATAAGCCGTCCTCCTCTCCTCTTCTTATTATTCTTCTATCCTTGATTTCTTATCAAATACTGACGCAACTTTCCTTCTCAGATATATCTTTCAATTGCGTCTCTGATATCCCAGCATTCATCGGTTGTGTGGCCAGGGCCATCATGGAACACACAATATCGAGATTGGTCCAGGCTGGCTGGATTCAGTAATGGTCGTGGCCTATCCACCCTCTTCATTTCGGTGGATGCTACCTCTCTCCAGATTTGGGATCTGGACGAATTCAGAGGTGCATATCTATCAAATTTTACTTAGTTGAAACTTTCTCTTCTGGCCTTTTACCCCAGAAATCACTTTGCCTTCGATTTTCGAGTTTCTCCACCTGGCCGTGGTGTTGCCTTGGGTCTGCATTTTCAATCTCTATCTGTTCGAGATCCAAATATTTTTTGGACCGTGCAGTGAACTCAACTAGAATTGGGACTGGGTTTTTGTATACGGATCTAGCTAACCTGAAGGATCCGTGGAGGCCGGCAATCACCAAATGTAAATGAACATTCTCAGACAACCCGGGAACTTGTAAGGCGGCCATTTTGAAGCGGTCCAAATACTTCTGCAGCGTTTCACCAGGTTGTTGTTTTATTTTCCCCAGCACGAATTCGGACTTGGGCTGTTTTTTACTCGTAGCAAAATTCAGCAAGAATCTACCTCCGAGCTCTTCAAACGATCTGATGGATCCCGCTGGTAGAGATGAGAACCATGATTTAGCTACTCCCTTCAGCGTGGTCGCAAATAACCGGGTTATCAACGGCTCTTGAATTCCCTTAATGTACATCGCCGTATCAAAGGCATCCAAATGCACTTGGGGGTCTTGCGCTCCACCGTATTTTGGAATTTCAGACAGGTTGAGGTTCTTTGGAAATGGTGCATCCACGATCTCGTCAACGAAGGGGCTGTCATTGTATTGCCCCCTGTGATACTTCCTCCTGTAGACCCCGGATACATCGTTCGGGTTTGGGTTCTGGGATGAGCGTCTCCAATCTGAAGACTGGGGGTTCTCTTCCAGCCTTCCCGGTTGTCCTATGTCGCCGTTGCGAACTTCGGGTCCTTGATTATGAACCACATTTGCTCGGGTGGTCATTGCATTCTTGAAAAGAAATATATTCGTTCGATATGGAGTACCACGAGCGATCATAAATGACGGAGGAACTCACTTTGACAACAGACAAGTGGAGTACGTACTGGCTAAATGCGGCGTGAAGCATAAGATTGCAACACCATACCATCCGCAAACAAGTGGCCAAGTGGAGATTTCCAACCGAGAGTTGAAACGTATCTTAGAGAAAATATTGGGAAGCTCCAGAAAAGATTAGTCCAAGAAGCTTGATGATGCACTTTGGGCAGCATTCAAAACACCAATAGGTATGTCCCCCTTCCAATTACTGTTCGGGAAAGCTTGTCACTTACCGATAGAATTGGAGCACAAAGCACTATGGGCAATCAGGTACCTGAACTTCGACTCCAAGACAGCTGTGGAGAAAAGATTACTTCAACTGGACGAGCTCGACGAGTTCAGACTATCTGCGTACGAGAGTGCGAGTCTGTACAAAGAGAATACGAAGAAGTGGCATGACAAGAAGATCTTACCTCGAGACTTCAAGGTGGGAAATCAGGTATTACTTTTTAACTCTCGTCTTCGTCTCTTCCCTGGAAAACTTAAATCCCGATGGTCGGGGCCGTTCGTCGTAAGGAACATGAAATCATATGGAGCAGTGGAGATTAGTCCGCTGGACTCCGATAGAAGCTTCACGGTGAATGGCCAACGACTGAAACTATACATGGGAGGAGCATTTGACAGAGGAACAACCACTGTTGCCCTTGTCGAGGTAACTTGAACGAGGTACGTCAGGCTCGTGACGTTAAACAAGCGCTGACAGGTAGGCAAACCTGTAGTTTACTGCTTTATTTTAAATTTTAGTTTAGTTTCTTTTGATTTCAAGAAAAAGAAAAGCAAAAAAGAGACAGACAAGAGAGGCCAAGGTCATGACTGAGTTCAAGGGAAGCGGAAACGACGACTCAAGAGGCTAAGGTATGGAATTTAAAGCTTAAATATAAAAATAGCCCCTGCCTCTACACGTTTTGGTGCACATATGACCGCCAAAACGTGAAGGAAAAGTACAAATTGATGTGCCTCACCATTATATTGCTGGAACGCTGCTATATCATTCCTTAACTGAATTGCTTTCGTGGGAGGAAAGAATTTCATCAAGAACTTTTCAGCCATGTCCTCCCATCTACGGATGGAATTAGGTTGTAGTGTGTTCAGCCATGCCTTAGCCCCATTGGTGAGAGAGTAGGGAAATAGCTTCATCTTTAATGCATCTGATGTAACTCCTTGTATCTTGAAGCTATCTGCTACCTCCATGAAATTTTTGAGGTGGAGAAGTGGATCTTCACTAGGCATCCCATTGAATAGGCCAATTGTTTCCAGCATGTCAAACATGACCGATTTCAATTCAAAATTTTCTGCTGCAATTTTTGGTTGAATAATCGGAGAATGAAGGTTCTTGAGTGTTTGGATTCTTTGTGCGCTGATTGAGATCTCAGACTTAATTGGCTCTTCCTTGCTAGCTCTTGCTCCTGTTAATCTTGCTGCCATATTAGGTAATGTTGTAGCGTTGCTATGAGTTTGCTGTCTTATCCTAGCTTGAAACGTCCTCCTTTCAGTTTCAAGGTTAAAGTTCACTTCTTGCTTGGTTGGAGAATTGCTCAAACACTGCAATTAAAACTTGAAAACAGAAAAGAAGAAAGGTGAAAGAAAAGAAATAGAAAAGATAGAAAGAAAAGAGAATTTCTTCACTTAAATAAAAAGCTTTAAAGAAATCATCCCCGGCAACGGCGCCAAAAACTTGTTGTGCAATTTGCAATCAATTAAATCAATCACACAAATACGCAAGTGCCCGTGTCACAAGTAATAAAGGGATGTGTGAGTCCAAGTATCGATCCCACGGAGATGATTTATAAAGCAATGATTATTTAAGTAAGGAAACTAGAAAAGGATTAATTTTTATGATTGAGTTTGTAAATAAAAGATAATTAAACTAAGAAAACAGTAAACTAATCATATGGTATTAAAGTGATGGATGAGGTATAGGTCAGGTTCAATTTTCTTGATACAACAATACTGAAACGATGCTATAACGATGCTTAATTAATAACCGAACACTAAGGTATGCTGGGGCTTTTGGCCAACCTAACATATATACCCAATAACTAATTCCCACATCTCTATGGCCAAACTAATTACTGAATTGTTAAAGTTCAAGTCCAAAGGCTATGTGGTGTGAATGATCTCTTTATCCACAACTTAATCAAGTTAACCTTAACCTAATTAATCCAACATAATTCGACAAGGGTCTGGATTCGAAAACCTCTCGGCCTCAATCTCCTCAATATCATATATGTATCTCTCGACATGCACACATGAATAAGAATAAGCAAACTCATTGAAAAACTAATTAAACATTCATAAAAACAAAGTTAAGGCATCCATTACAGTGTTACAGCATAGGTACTCTATCACCTAACCTATAGACCAATTTAGTTCATAATGGAATTAAATAAAACAAAGAAGAAGAAGAAGAAAGAAATCATTAAATAATAGAAAAGAAGCTGAAAATGAAAGCTGTTGTAAAACTTTGTCACGGTCTTTCTCCAGCAATGCTCCAGCAGCTCTTCTTTCTCCAAGAATCTTACTTTCTCTTTCTAAAACGTGGTGTGGGGTACTACATTCTTCCCAGCCTTTTTTTTAACCTCTCTCTCCCCCGTTTGAATCCGTAGGGGACTCCTCTTTAAATAGGAAAGGTGGTTGGTTAATTAGGCTTTAGGGTTAGGAGTGAAAATCCATGAATTGTGTTGCTGCAGCCTTATCTTATCCCTATTTTCTTGGGTTGTTGGCACTTGATTGGATAAGATCTTGATCTTCTTTATTTTATTCTGCCAATATTGTTGTTGATTTGATAAGAGTTTGTTATCCTTGATTCTTGGGATTTTGAGATAAGAATAAATCTTCAAAAACGTCCCTTGTATTTGCTTGCTGGTGTTTTATCCATTTGTTGGGGAATAACTAACTTTTGAATTTTGAAAATTCAGTTGCTCCCTTGTCCACGCTTTCATGCTGTACCGATTACTATATCATTACTTCGTCAGCTTCTCTGCGACAACATCCTAGCGTCAACTTTTCCTGCAAAGACAAACACTCAACAAATCATATATTCTTGTACAAAATCAAGGAATATTGTCTCATTTTCCATACTTAGTCATCTCAAAGCACTTAATCATGAATATGCAACATTTAGCTCAATTATCATGCAAACAAGACAACTTATATGGAATTTATGCAGCAAATTCATCATAAAAATACCATATTCACTCTCATTTGGGAGAGTTAACAGTGGGCACGCTTTCCCAAACACTCTAATTTCCATGAATTTTCACCAGAAATCATATATTTCTTGTGCTATGTACCATTTATAACTTATATCCAAACTTAGAGCTCAAAATTCATTCAGCACGCTTTACGATACAACTGTACTGCAATATTTTTACCCGATAAAAACACTATTCACCAAATTTTCAGAAACTTGTCTAACCACTCAATTTTTCGTTCTGAATCCATTTATAGGGTTAGTTTTCTCTTTCGAGACCCCCTACTCAATTTTACCTTCCTAGGGTTATGTAACACCCCGTGTATTCCCGAAATATTAACATTACATCGTATTAAGCGGTTCTTAATTAAAAATTGCGAAATATTCTTTTTCTTTTCAATTATGACGTCATTATCAATTACCAACTTGATTACTTAATCAATTTCATAAAATATCGCCTGTATGTAAATTGCAATAAGACATCTACTAAAATACCTCAATATATAGATAAAGTGTGTATCTAAATCACGGCATTACATCAAGTAATCCGGACAATATCCTGATACATTATTACAACTCCAAAAGACTCAAGACATAATAATACTATGTGTCATGGACAATCCCCATGCTCACCAAATAGACATAGTAAACAACAATCTCAACATAAAACTCCAAAATCATAACTGAAGCTATAAGCATATAAACAGCATGCAAATCCAGCATCCAATCATGGCAACATAAAATAACAGCACTCTAACTCAGCTCCGGCCTCCTGCCGCCTGAGGTCTCAACATTACCTGATCCTGAAATAAGCATTCCCCAAATGTGGGGTGAGATCTCTAAACTAGAAATCTCAGTAAGACAAGGGGTGCTCAACGATCTTCCACCCCAAGCTCACTTACACGTGCAATATAAGTTCAAAAGCATTTATATCATTATCAGTTCCAAAAACTATGTAGTGCAACAGATATCTATGGCATGTGTGTAATCACTATCTACTGGCCAGAGAAATGTAGGAATACGTCTATTCCCTACATGTAGTACAAGGAACACCGCTTGCACCTCACCCTCTTGTATGTTCTACATACTCAGGCTTACCGTATAGGTGGAACACCTCCATGCATATCAACAAGGCACTAACATATAATAACTCAACAGCATTTCCAAAACATCAAAAGCGTGTAACACAGCATGCATATAACCATACCCCCATGGGACATGGTGGAACCACAACATGGCTAAACCGAGGACACGAAAGCTTACCTCTAAGCTAGCTATCCAATGCCACAAGCTCAAAGTCCAATCACAGCAGATCACAATCTGATATGGACCAAACATAAATCAATAACATGTACCACATGCATACAAATTAAAGACAACGCCTTTTCATTACGTTTTCAAGTCTTAAAGCTTCTAACAAAGCCACAAGCCCTTAATCCCATGATTCTTGCTTAATCCATTAAATACAGAAGTTCAACTTCATCAAACTAGGATCCACAAACTCCCAATAGCCTACTGTACACACAGCACAACTGTTGTTCTGCGAAATCCCAGAATATCCGGATATCTCACTGTCCATATCCGGATATACAGATTCACATATCCGGATATCCAATATCCGGATATCCCAAAACCACGTATCCGGATATCCAATATCCGGATATCAGTTCGACAAATATCCGGATATCTCACGACAGAATGCAGTTTCTGCATTTTCGTGAAGATATCCCTAAAAGGTTCCCTTTTTACCGATTTTATACACCTAATCATGCATTTCTAGGTGTGTTCAATGTTACCCAACAACAAGTTATCATCTTTTAGTCATTAGATGCATCAAGGTACCATTTTTAAGCCTTAAAACTCAAGTTAAAGGTTGGTACACATACCACAGCTCAAAAACAGCAAAGGGAGATGCTCTTGGAGCTCACAATCAGTCTCAAGCTACTGTCACAAGAGGATGCACGAAAATGAACACAAGATGACTCTTTTAATCAACAAGAAGACACCTTGAAGCATCAAAATGCCAACAAAAGGTCACACCCCTCAAGAACAGCAAACACAGCTCTTCAAACTCCCTCACACAGGTTCTCTAACTCAGAAACACCACCCCAATGTAGTCCCAAGGCCAACCCTCACTCTCACCAAGTGTTTAAATGGAAGAACAAGCATCAAAGGTGAATGCTTGCTCAAGAAATGGTGAAGAAGGCAAGGAAGGAGTGTTTTCTGGTCGGCCTCCAAGTTACTCACGAATAGAAATCTGATCCTAGGGTTTTGTGCCCATAATGGGAGTATTTATAGCCCAAACACACTTAAACACACAGTATTAACTTTAATTGCTATGCTTAGAATTTTAATCCCAAACTTTGGATTTTGAAACTACATAATTTTCTAAGATCTATCATATTTTTCTTATAATTTTCTGAGCAACTTTCCGGTACGCGCTTTTCAAAGCCAGTACCGGTTTCTAG